ATATAATTTAAATTCGAAATTATATAGGAATGATCGTACCGCAGCTAAGACAACGATCTTATCATGCACATCACAATAAAAATAAAATAAAAAAATATTCGTGATTTGTAGTAAACATCAAAAGGTGTCCTAAGAATCAACTATATTTGAGCCATATTCACGGAGAGAATAATTATTGCAAACAATAACTGCAATACCAAATAAATTTCTGTACGGCTTAATGACTCTTATTACACAAAGCAGTAAGGCAGTGTTTCGTTGGAAGAGAAATAACACACTAGGCGATATTTTGTAATATTCGTCGGTACATTTCTACTGTCATAGCAAAGTGGACTTTATAACCCTTGTAAAAAGAGTTGTATACAAGATGTGAAATAAAAAAATATTATGTAAACATTTTCTTCCAATTAATTTTTATTTTCATTTTAATACTAGATGTCGGATTATTAATATAAAAAGAAAAGTTTTGTTTCAAAATATTCTTTCTGTGAATTGACTGAAGTATAGATTAGTTAGAAACCTTTCCCTTTAAAAGCTTTGCAGTCGGCGACTAGTAAGGAGACATGCAAGATTATTCTAGACAAACAAAATAATGGTCGCCGAACGCAAACTTTCTATACAAATAAATGCTTTTTTAACAATCGTAAACGGGAAGTAAACCAGACTCCCACACAGCCAGTTGCAAAGTTCGTCAACTAAACTCAACATGTTCGTTTAATTATACGAACCAGCAATGCAATATTAAATAATTAACTTACATACATGTCGATTAAGGCGATGAAAAACGAAACGAAGTTTTATTGTCATGCCGGCACTTCACTTGGCTATTCGTATTTGCTATTTGTAAACTTGGCAACAATCTGTCCTTATCATGCTTAATAAGGAATGAAAAAGACAAACTGGTGTCAAGTTTACAAATAGCAAACACGCATAGCCAAGTGAAGTACCGGCATTAGAAATATCATTTTGCCGTAACTAAAAAAAACGTTTCACATCGCGTTAAAAAACCAGCGGTGCTCATGCATTCTACAAGAGTACGTGTTACTTTGTTAGCACAATTTAACTGGGTCTTATCAAGAGTTTACTTTGAAATAAATGCTAACTATTATAGCTAACTAACTACTCGGAGTAGTTACTCCGTGATCATGGCGCTTGCAACAGTGCCGAAATATCGGAGACTTATAAAAAACAAGGTACATGGTTAACAATCCCGTTAATAGCTATAATGTTAGTGACCATGAAAGTTTAAAACAATAAATGCTAACTAAACATAGCTCATTTTTATCGAAGTTCTCTTAGATTGATTATAGGGGGGAATTAATACTGAATTATCACATTTCGATCTATCGTTTTTTTTTAATTAATAAAGTGTTGGGTAGTGGTAAGCTGTCTGCATGTCTTGTTTGTGTGCTCAAAAGTTGCAGACACTTCAAAGCTGTCATATTTTTGTTAAGTAATGGCAACAGCGGAACGGCCTTTCAGACGTAATTCTTTGTTCTCTTTCCCACTCACTGTACTTCGCATGGGAAAATCGGAGAATAATAAGTGTTATACTTTACTATAGTTACATAAAGCATTATTTTATTTATTAGCAATATCTAATTTCGAAACACGTAACGAACAGTAAACTCTGAACATTGTTAGTTGCTACAATATTATGAATGTCAAAATTATTCATCGTAACACTTATCTGTACGATGCTCAAGCACCGAAATCACGTGATCAGCCTCAGTTACCAGGATACAAATTAGGTAAAAAAATACTATAATAGACTCACAAGGTTGCCTTACTTATCATCGCTTTAGTATGTATATTGTAAAACAATTTCTTACAATCTGATGGACTAAACCTATCGATAATATTGCAACAAAAATTATGTGAATTTTAATGCAGTTGAACTGTATCTTTCAATCAATTTTCAAAAAAATATTTATTGTAGTGGTAAGATTTTTTATTGCCTTAATGTTCCTAGTAACTTTGCCGACAGTCGTTCTACAATGCAGTACACCGATGCCTTGCTATTAAACCATAATAACTGCTTACTGCAACGACATAAGGTTCATTATGGGTCATAAAAAATTGTTGCTTGCGATTCAGTGAGCAGTTATTACTGTTTTCTTGGCGTTAGTAAGGAAACGTAAACGAGAATGATCTATGTATATTTAAAAAGACGTTAAATACAAACTAAGCTTTACATGATGAAACAAAATAGAGTTTCGTTTGAACTTCCAGTTGAAATAATACTCAAGTTATTTGGTCAATATATGGACCAAAATTATGTTATATAACTATTTAAAATATAGACGATAAAATAAGTATACCAGGATCAAAGTTAGGACATTTCTTTGATACACTTTCAGTGTTTGCTTTTATAGTTAAACGTATTAGCTTGGCCCTCGAGTTTGCTTGGTGGTGGCAAGCGAATTTAGCCATAATTTCTCTAGAATCAGAGTTCATTCTCGTTAGTTCCAAGCGTACGCTATACGCGTGGTCCGGTGATGTTATTCCTAACATAAACATATGTGGGACCGGTGCCGTTTCTTACTCGTGTGAGCGACGTCTCCGCTACTCCCATCTCTTTCCCGCGCAGAATCTGATTGGCCAGTTTTTGTTTATTCACGGGTGATCCTGGAAAAATGATTTACAAGTGACCTGCCTGACGTATTGACTATGAGCTGATATAAAAAGATCTAGAAATGCGTCTACTTAAATAGATAATAAAACAAAGTTTACTTGCAGATCACGTTATTAATATAAAATGAATAATATAAGAAAAATATATTACAATTATGAGATGATGATGCAAGTTCTAGAAGGAGAAAATTGAAGTGTCATCTTTACTCTTATCCTTAACCAATATCAAATAGCAATTTAATATAATAATAATGGGAAACGCAAACTTACTGTCAGTATAAATAACACTTATTTAACTTTGATATTCGTCAATTTGTAATATCACTTTAACTTAATACGACGAAAATGACGGAACATTAAAATGAGTTTTCCAAAAATTTGTAGTTAATAAATATTTAAAATTGATTACTGTTGCCTGATTGAATAAAAAGTAGGTATGAGGTTAATTAAACTGCGATATTAATGATTAATATAAATTCGCATTTCCCATGTTTTGAAGCGTCAATGGCTTTGTCTTACCTTTGGTTGTTAGTAAAAAGTGTGACTAATTAGTAGCAGCGAAACATAAGCGTTGTATAAAAACAAAAAAAAACTGTACACAAAACTGATAAAACAAAAACGACACACGAAAACAGATAAAAATAACTCGACTGTATCACTTTGATCAAAGGACAAAATAAAAACGAATCACTTGACCAATTCGGTCATAGTAACATAATTTTTATGTTTTATAGCAACACTTAAAATACCAAAAACTTTTATAGACCACCATTTTACACTATTTTTATTGTAAGATGCTCTTAAATTTGATTGAACTGTCTCGCTTACTGTGACACGAAATAATATTGGACAATATCACAAAGAAAACTTTGGTCCATGAAATAAAATTACTGTTGCCTGCACACAAGTGATGGAAAAAATATAATATAAATCACACCATTACCAAATATACATATAAGGTATTGTTTATTATATAGATCCGACAGGAACCTATGTGAATTAATCGTCGGACGTTATCTAACAAAAAGCATACATCTGAGTGTTTATAATAAGAAGAACATATATTAAAATAATTATTTAAACCACGCACCGAAATATTGCAAAACGTATATGGATGATATAAACAAAAAATTCAAACTATTTTCAAAAAGGTCCAATATACAAGCTAATCAAGTAGTAAATAATGTGTGCAAAATATTTTAACGGAGAATGCATGCTAAGCAAGCGTGCCTATAAATAAAGGTGCCAAATATGCTGCATGTGATCATGATATGAATAAGCGATAGCTTTCTATTAATGATGATTCATAAACCGAAAAATACGAAATAAATCGACTGGAACTGCACAATTAAGATATAAAATAGAAAAAAATAGGATCAGGTTTTAAGATTTCCCGAGACGCACTTGTCCCAACTTCCCAAAACATCTAAGTTTAATAACAATAAGTAAGTACTTTATAAAAATAACACGTTTTATTCTCATTAAATAAAACTAGTTTAATTTAATGAGTGATGTGCGTGGAAACCTAAGAAACAAATAAGTTTTATTCTCTTAATATTGTTATTCATAATCCTTGTCTTTAAGTTACTTTAATAGTGTTCTCCACATGTCCGACTTATACTTTGATGATTAAAGATAATAAAATTTATTATGATTCCACAAGACATTACTTTTTCTAGATACTGGGTGACTCATATAGCCCTTATTATTTATCAAACAAATCGATATTCGCACTACAATCTTCATATTAAACTATATTTTTGTGTTTGTTTTATTAACTGGTCAGGAATCAATATCGCGGGAAGTAGGCACAGTACGTAAATACACTTCCAGACACATCTATCGGCCCACCTAGCATTTTGCGTTTTGACGGTCCCTAGCTAAAAATAAATGTTACATTGAGCAAAAAGTTTTCAGTTTTGTAGCTGATTTATTAAACATTTTTTTCGTGTGTATTAAAATCTTTTTTTTTTAAACGAGATAAGCTAATGACTCTACCACAGCTGATGTTAAGTGGTGATAAAATCCAAACGCGAAGATAGCTGGTACAGCAGTTATAAACTGCTACACCAACCATCCTCACCTTGCCAGCCTGCAAAAATTCTTCTTCACGCCTCTCAAAGACCTCCAGATTGAAGGAAAAAGGGAACACGTGTGCGGGCAAAGAATTCCACTTACGAATAGTACGACACAGTAAGTCGGTGGCAATTATTATTGCTCAACCTTAAATATACATTATTTAAGGTATACTTTTTAGCAAAAGTCTGTAGCCAGACCGTTGAAACTTCTAACACTAAGTGGGCCGATATATTATGTCCGGAAGTGTAGAATTTCGTGTTCGATCAGCAGTTAGTGTTTGTACTCACCGATATAGCTGAGCATGACGGGCAGGAAGATGAGGCCGTGAGCGGCGCCCACCAGTACGATGCCCAAATACATACGGAAGTAGAACACCTGGTGGAAACACAAATAAATTCAAGTAATGAAAAATTTTACGTCAGTTATGTTTTAACTTTTTTAAAGCTTTTAACTGCTAGATGTTTAAAACTAAAGTTTACTAGAAAACTCTATTTTTAAATTTTACGTCTTTTTTTTTTGTGACTTAACGTGGAGACATTTTTCCATTTTTTTTTTCTTTTTTTGCGGAAAACAATCTAAATCGTTAAGTGAATTAGCTAGTTAAGTTCATCAAGTAACTCAAAACACCAAGGCCCGCGTTATGGGTATAAGTATATTTATTTAGAAATACATACAAACACAACCATGACTTGGATACAAATGTTCGTATTCATCACACAAATATTTGCCCCGCGCTTTTGCGCTAAAACGGCTGAATGGATTTGGATGAAATTTGGCATATTTATACATATATATTATCTTTTATACTTTGATGACTTTGGTGAAAAATAAAATGCTAGGTTCCTATAGAATTCCCAAAAAACTAACTTTAATGCGGATTAATAAATGCGTATGCGCCCGTACGAGCCAATGACGATACTTGCACAGCATCGTCATTGGCTCGTACGGGAGCAGAACTAAGTAGACGCACCTGGAATATTTGACTCTTGGCGAATCCCAGTACGATGATGCCTCTGAATTTAGTAACCGTAATCTCAAGACAGTACGGACGAGCCCATACGAGCCAATGACGATACTGTGCACTACATGGGAGCAGTACCCTTAGTACGAATTTGAGCTCACGAAAACTACCATAGTTTTCGTAATTGTAAATTATGTTTCTGTGTCCATTTTTGTGAAAAGTAACCAAATATACTTAAAATTTAAGAAGACGTAAATGATTTAATGATATAATTTAAACACTGTTCATTTGTATTCAAACGAAAACAATAAAATTAGTACCCTTAGTACGAGTGCGAGCTCACGAAAACTACCATAGTTTTCGTAATTGTAAAACTCGTACTCAGGGTACAGAACTAAGTAAACTTACCTGGAATATCTGACTCTTGGCGAATCCCAGTACGATGATGCCTCCGAATTTAGTTAGAGTAATCCCGGACAGTACGGACGAGCCCATACGAGCCAACGACGATACTGTGCACTACAAGGGAGCAGAACTAAGTAAACGCACCTGGAATATTTGACTCTTGGCGAATCCCAGTACGATGATGCCTCCGAATTTAGTTAGAGTAATCCCGGACAGTACGGACGAGCCCATACGAGCCAACGACGATACTGTGCACTACAAGGGAGCAGAACTAAGTAAACGCACCTGGAATATTTGACTCTTGGCGAATCCCAGTACGATGATGCCTCCGAATTTAGTTAGAGTAATCCCGGACAGTACGGACGAGCCCATACGAGCCAACGACGATACTGTGCACTACAAGGGAGCAGAACTAAGTAAACGCACCTGGAATATTTGACTCTTGGCGAATCCCAGTACGATGATGCCTCCGAATTTAGTTAGCGTAATCCCGGACAGTACGGACGAGCCCATACGAGCCAATGACGAAGCTGCGCGGGTAACCCGCGATCCGGCACCGGCTGAGGCGAAACTGTGCACTAGATGGGAGCAGAACTCCACAGCTATGCCCACAGCCATTACCTACGATAGAAATATATAATAGTTTTAACAATTTCCTTGGGGCTTATCATCTATAATCTTAGAATTATATATCGAACAATTGGATGCATATTTACCATGCATACCAAAAGTTGAGAGTTGTTTGTTGGAAAGCACAATTTTTATCGTAATAAATCTAGGAAATTTTAAGTGTATTATACTAAGTGAGATAAAAAAACAGTTTGACACAATCGGCTGTTGCTCTATTAAATCGTAATATGGTTAATATTTCCTACTTTTACTGACAATAAATCCTGTGATTTTATTTTTAGAAAAAATATCCGTAACAACCGCTTCCATAATTTGCTAGCCATAAAAATAACCTTAAGTAAATAAATACGCATCCGATCTCCACTTATATTGTTAAGTACATGGCTATTTGTTAACTTAGCAGCAGTCTCTCCTTTCATCTCCTAAAGAGCATGATAAGGATACACAGATGACAAGTTCAAAAATAGCCATGTAAAATACTAGTATAATAATTATTGCAATATCCTTTAACTGGGTTCTTGTTTAGACTTATATTTTAAACATAAATGAATATGAATACACTAATGGCTGAGCTAATATTGATATATAAAGCTGAATAGTTTATTTTCACGCTCCTCTTCTCAAGATCCATTGGGTCAAAGTGAAAGTTCCATCAAAAACATTCATTTAAATTCATTATTACGAATAGGTGTTTTTATAAGACATTGATTTAAACCAAAACCCTCCATATGTAAACACAATATTCCCATACTTGTAAGTCTAAATAACGTGATGTTTGTATGTATGTAAGAAGTTGATAAAATAATAACTTACCAAGTTAACAAGCGATACAGCGTTGAGACTAATTCCCCACCAGTACATAAGGCCACCGAGATTCACCACAATCATTGTGATAGTTATTACCACTACCTGTAAACCAAAATTAAATTAATTACTGTCATACTTCTCTGAACTTATAATATTAAACTGGTACTGCAATTGCTTATTCGTGTTTCTTATTTGTAAACTTGAAAACAGTCCATTCTTAAAACGCTTTCTAATGAATGAAAAGCACAGTCTGATGTCAAGTTTACAAATAGCAAACACGAACACGAACAGCCATGTGAAGTGCCGGCATTATAGAGTTAAGATTCTCCGATAAGCATATAGGTATTCTAAATAAGTTTAGGAAACACTTCGTTAATAAATAGACTCATCACATATGTATTTTTCAGTTTTATATACAGGGTACCTTCAAATATAAGTATTGAATGGCACCAAAACTCAGTCATACATATTAGTGCTTAGGGTGAAGCCAAAAAAGCATAATTTTTTGAATCGGAGATTGCAGCTAATTTAAGCTGCATTGGTTTTTTGGAGAATCCTGTTTGATTCACACTGAGACGCAAAATGTGTCGGCAGACAAGACTTACATATGAAAACCAATAGAGCTAAAATTACGCGACTTACGTCTCCACCCTTTCAACCCAACTAAATTCGTTTGTACTTACCAAAGCTGAGAACAGATCGAAGCCCATCAGCACGAAGGTTACAATGAAGATGGAAAGCACCGATATGCCCATACTCTTCAAGGTGTCCGGCCACATTGTCAAGTATTGTTCATAAAACACGTAGAACACGGAGTAAGGGAACACATTGGTAGTGTTCTTGCCTTGCTCTTTGAGGTTTCTATTTAGTGTTTCCGTTAAATTGGCGGAGATGGAACGAGCGGCGCGCAAAGCTTCGTAATAATCGCTGCTCGTCTTCAATACGGTGTGGTAACCTGAATGGACACATTAATCGTTATAGAAACATGAAATTCTCATACGACTTTTGGGCAAATTATTTCAAATGAGTATGATGCCGGCACCTTAATTCGCTATCCTAGTTATTTATCGCTATCACTATAATTCGCTACTATTATAGCTATACTACTATCATGGAAGGATGGAAGAGCGGTGCCTCCTGTTACAAGTATCACTATGCTTAAAAGGAGTGCACCAACAATGTTATTAGATAATAAGAGGTTAAGTTAAAGAGAATAAACATATTTTATTACTTTATAATTTCCCAGTAAGTCTAAAAAGTAAGTTTCAAAACTTGGTTCCGATTGCATCGTTGTTCTCGGGAGTGAGTCCTGATTGGTTTAATTGTAAGATGTCGCGTCGCTTGATTGGCTATTATCAATTAGGTGGAAGTGTAGTGGAGGCAAGCCCGCGACATTGGTTCCCGTACAAAAGATCTATGATCACCCTTCTAACGTCTTTCTGTGTTTATTTATTTATTTAAACTTCATTGCCATACATATGCAAACGGCGGACTTAATACCATTGGCATTCTCTACCAGTCAACCTGAAGGAGTGTTAGAGATGGTATGCTTTATAATAAAACATTTAGAAAATAACGATTAAAATATATTAATACTAAATTTGATACTCCTACATAAACTACACAAAAGTTGTGTGTAGTGTTCTATGATTATAACATTATACTGACCTTGGTAATAAGTGGCGCCTACAGAAGCCTGAGTGGCATTCAACATTTTGTAGTTAACGGCTTGCCCGTAGGCAGCGTGGCCTGCTTTAGCGCAGTTCTCGTTGGGATTGTCCTGAAGGAAGAACGGCACGTAGTGCTTGAAGTCCGAGGGACTGGGCCGAAGCTCCCGCCCAGTAAGGGGAATGTTGCACGAGTCACAGGTAATCTTTTCTGAAAAGAAGAATAATAACAATTAGTGTTGCACCGAATGTGGGTCTTGCTTTCCCGAATGTCGAATTGGCCGAATATTCGTTTTAAATATGTGCCGAAGCCGCAGTGCGCGGCCGGAGTTTGGCCGACGTTCGGTTAAATTTCGCGTGCTTTTGCTAAATGAGCACAATGTTTAAAATATATATACGTGTCCCGGCGAACTTCGTACCGCCATAAAAAATAGGGGTTGGTGGTAGAAGGGTGAAAATTTTGGGTTGTATGTATTTTTATATGACAATTTAGGGTGGACCACCCTTAATATTTAGGGGAATGAAAAATAGATGTTGTACAATTCTCAGACCTACTGAATATGCATATAAAATTTTACGAAAATCGATCGGGCCGTGTCGGAGTAGTTCAATTACGCACACAGTGACACGAGAATTTTATTATTAGAAGAAGATATATATGTAAGTGTTATCTTAACTTTGCTGACAGATAAATATTACTATTGATAATATTCTAAAGCATATTTTTGAAACTTGATATTGTTCTTGTCTAGGCAAATAAAAACAAACATCCACGTTTTCGCTTAGAATCCATTATTTGATCTAGATTAAGCAGTAACAATGTTCACTAACATTATATACCCAAGTAACTATATTACAAAGATGAAAGATTTGTATCTATGTAACGACGAATAAACTCAAAAACAACTGCACCAATTTCAAAATTTCTTTCACCATAGTATGAGAACTGCGATATGATAAGTGAGATGGTTTTTATAACGCTAAATTGTCAAATTACTATGAAGTTTGTTCCTGTGAGATTCTCAAAAAAGTAACTATAACACATACCAAATCTAATCAAATATATGTACATATAAATCTCGCCACTGTAGTAATAGTTGAGACAGAAGCTACTGTTGCCCGGTAAGTATTTGTGATTCTCAGAAAACTAACTGTAACAGACCAAATCACGTCGGAATCTAATCAAAAATAACTAAATATGGGACATATAAAGCTTACCATTTGTAGTAATCGTTGGGACAGAAACTGCTGTTGCCCGGGAGGTATTTGTGATTCTCGGAAAACTAACTATAACAGACCAAATCACGAGCGGAATCTAATTAAAAATAAATAAATATGTAGGTACATATAAACTTACCATTGTAGTAATCATTGGGACAGAAGCTGCTGTTGCCCGGGAAGTATTTGCAGCATTGTGAGAGCGTCGCCCAGTCGAAGAAGTCGTCCAGCCACGAGTTGGGAGGCTGAGACAAGTACGTCTCGTTGGGAGTGCGGGATGCTGGAAACAATGGACAGTATATTGTTTTAAACTTTCATGGTCACTAACATTATAGCTATTAACGGGATTGTTACCATGTACCTTGTTTTTTATGAGTCTCCGATATTTCGGCACTGTTGCAAGCGCCATGATCACGGAGTAACTAGTTACTACTACTGTCCCAATGAGATCGAAGACTCATAAAAAACAAGGTACATGGTAACAATCCCGTTAATAGTTATAACAATGGACAATGTTATAAAAGTAGCTTTATTAGCTTATTAATGGAGCCCGTCCCGTCACTGCTGCGGCACCAAGCCTTTCCTATGGATGTTGTAGTATATTAGAAGGTAATCGAATAATTATTTATCTGTCAGCCGAGTGTCGAAGCTGTCCCCACCAGTCCGTTAATAAACGTCTAGCCAAACGGTAGCCTTTTATTTACGCATACATATCAATGGCGACGAGGAAAAAGTGAAAGCCTGTTACCGTTACCAAAAGTAATAGAAGTTAAAGACTGCGCTAATAGTGATAATACGTAGCACGCGAGTGAACTGTTTCTGCTGAAAATAAATACCGTTAACAATGCCGATTGGTAAAACAAGTGAATTTGATGTTAAATCGGGTAATTGGACGTTGTACATCGAGCGGTTGGAAATGTATTTCAAAGTTAACGAAGTAAAAAAGGACTTATGGTTACCAACTTTGATAGCCGTTATGGGCGATGAGGCTTATGAATTATTAAGCAATTTAATAAGTCCTTATAAGCCGTCTGATAAAACCTATGAGTACATCGTGAAAACTTTTCTGGAACATTTGCAACCAAAAAGGTCGGTAGTAGCAGAAAGATATTATTATAGGCAGCGAAGGCAATTTAAGACAGAAACTATTTTGCAATACATCTCCGAGTTGAAAAGATTAACAAAATTTTGTAATTTTGGAGCTACTTTGGAGGAAAATTTGAGAGACCAGTTGGTGTGCGGTTTGGCTAGCGACGTAATAAGGCAGAGATTATTCGCCGAAGATAATTTAGACTACGCTAACGCAGTTAGACTAGCCTGCGCGATGGAGGCCGCGGAGCGGAACGCCGCAGCGGTGGAGCAGCTCGGAGCAGGGAATTTGTCCGGGAGCGAGGCTGGCGCGATGGCAGTACACGCGTTGAGATTCAGCCCACGTGGTCGAGACGGCGGCGGTGGCCGCGCTGGTTCGGGCGATCGGCGGGTTCGAAAGGAGCGGTATGACTCACGCTCACCACGCCGAGGAGTTGCGCGGGATAATATCAGTCGTTCTCATAAGATTTATGAACGTTGTAAAGTGTGCGGGTCTGTTGATCATCCGTGGGAAGAATGTCGTTATAAACGTTTCGTCTGCGGAAAATGTAAACAACGTGGACACTTAAGGCGGGTGTGTCCGGGACGTTTTTATGACAAGATCAACACGCGGCGCCTGCATCACGTGACGGAGGAGCCTTCAACGGAGCAACCGGCCGGGCATGTGGATGATTGCGTATCCGAGGAGGACCCGGGGTCGGATTATGAGGCTGAAGAGGAACTGCATCAATTAAGTTTAAACGGCTATAAGCCGGTGAGTTTACCTGTATTTATAGATAATTTCAAATTATTAATGGAAGTAGATACGGGCTCGGCGGTGTCCTGTATTAACAAATTAACTTATGATAAATATTTTAGCCACAGACCAATGGAGAATCCTAGTTTATCATTAAAGTTATATGATGGCACTAAAATAAGGCCTGTCGGGGTAATCAAACCTACAGTTAAATATGAGGAAATAAATAAATCTCTCGAATTATTCGTTATTGAAGGGGGGGCCACTTCCCTTTTAGGTCGGCAGTGGCTGACCGAATTAAAGATTCAGATACCAAAATTTGTAAATTATGTGTGTAAGTTGGACAAGCATGTAAAATCCGATTGTGACAGTTTAACATCATTGATCCACAGCCACGATGAATTGTTTTCCGGTGGCCTGGGGCGCTTTACGGGTGGCGAGGCGACGCTGCGCGTGCGCCCGGGGGCGGTGCCGGTGTTTCACCGCGCGCGGCCCGTGCCGTACGCGCTGCGCGAGCGCCTGGACGCGGAGCTGGACGCCATGCTGCGGGACGGCATCATTGAACCCGTAGACTACTCGGACTGGGCGACTCCACTTGTGCCGGTACGTAAGGCGGATGGCGGCCTAAGGATTTGCGCGGATTACAAGGTGACCTTGAACCCTGTTTTACTCGTCGATCGGTACCCTCTCCCTAGAATAGACGATTTATTAGTTGGGCTAAATGGGGCTAAGATATTTTCAAAAATTGATTTATCCCAGGCGTATAACCAAGTAGAGCTGGATGATTCTAAATATTTGACCGTAATCAATACACATAGGGGTTTGTTCAAATATAATCGTCTCGTTTACGGTTTATCCTCCAGTCCCGGTATCTTTCAGCGCATTATGGCGAGTATTTTGAGTGACATACCTCATGTAGAAGTATTTTTAGATGACGTAATTTTAGGAACCCCTACAAAAGAATTGCATTTGCAGGTATTAGGTAGGGTTTTCGAACGTTTGCGTCAATACGGTATGAAGTTAAAGAAAAACAAATGCGTTTTTATGGTCGATGAAGTAAAATACCTAGGATTCATTATTTCTAAAGATGGAATAAAAACTGATCCGGATAAAACTCGGGCGATTGCGAAAATGCCGCGTCCGAAAGATGTTCCCGAGTTGAGATCATTTTTAGGATTAGTAAATTTTTATGCTAAATTTGTTAAAAATATTAGTTCTCTTTTAGCACCTTTGTATGAATTATTAAAAAAGAAAGTTAAATGGAACTGGTCACCGAGCTGTGAAAACGCTTATAAAGAAATTAAGTCTATACTGATAAGCGCGCAGGTACTCGCTCACTATGACCCTAAGAAACCATTGTTCTTAACATGTGACGCGAGCGCGCGCGGCATCGGCGGCACGCTGACACAGCCCGGCGCCGGCGGCGAGCGGCCGGTCGTGTTTGTGTCGCGCGCACTCACCGACGCAGAAAAACACTATTCGCAGATAGATCGCGAGGCGCTAGCCATAGTATTTTGTTTTAGGAAATTGCATCAATATTTGTACGGCCGTAGATTTACGTTACGAACGGATCATAAGCCGTTAGTTAGTATTTTTGGCTCGAAACAAGGAATACCGACTATGGCCGCTAGTAGGATGCAGCGTTGGGCTATCATATTATCAGCATATACGTATGATATTACATATATTAACACGAAGCAAAATGCAGCGGACGGGTTGTCACGACTGCCACTTCCGATTGATAATAGTCCGAAGAAGCTTTCGTTGACGACCGAACAGACCTATTTACATTTTGCCGAAAATGAAATGTTATTGGATTATAATGAGATTAGGAAACATACACTAAAAGATCCGATTCTAGGTAGAATTCTTAATTACATTAGAGATGGGTGGCCCATTGAAAATGAGATAAAAGCTCTGCAACCATTCTTCAATAGGAAAAAGGAATTATATGAAGAATTGAGCTGTGTTATGTGGGGACACAGAGTAGTTATTCCTGATGCTTGCAAAACTAAGGTTTTATTAGAACTACACGAACCCCACATGGGTATAGTTAAAACAAAAGCCATTGCACGCAGCTATGTATGGTGGGCCGGTATTGACGAGGCCGTGGAAAATATGTGCCGCTCATGTGTTACATGCGCTGCGGAAGCAGACGCTCCGCCGCGGCAGGCCCCTAAACCTTGGCCTTGGCCCTCACGTCCGTGGTCGCGACTGCATATTGATTTCTTGGGTCCTATTTTCAATAAAATATATTTGGTAGTTATCGACGCCAGAACTAAGTGGTTGGAAGTATTTCAAGTACCGAGTACGTCCGCCACACATACTATCAGTAGGTTATCAGAGTTATTTGCGAGATGGGGGTTGCCAAAACAAATTGTATCTGATAATGGCCCACCTTTCACTAGTAAGGAATTACATATTTTTTTGTCAAATCGAGGTATAACTCACATATTTACCGCACCATATCACCCCGCATCGAACGGGGCGGCGGAAAATGCAGTGCGTACTGTAAAAAAAGCAATTAAAAAGGCAATTAGGTTAAAAACCGATGTTAATCTTTATTTGGATAAGTTCTTATTATATTATCGAAATACGCCACATTGTACGTTAGGCGAATCTCCTGCAAGTTTGATGTTGGGTAGATCTTTGCGAACGAAATTGGATATTCTGAGGCCGGATCCTAAACAAAAAATTATATTAGATAAAGTTAGTAGTAGTAATACCAAGAGCTTACACCCGGGAGAGGAAGTGTGGCTACGCCAATATCAAGGGCCACAGCGTTGGGTCTCCGGACGAGTTAGTGAGTGTTTGGGGTCATCCGACTATAAAATCATAGACGAGGTAGGGCGAAATTGTCATAGACACATAGACCAGTTAAAACGCAAATCCAGAGGGTCCATTTTAGGTCTGTCACATGAATCGCCATCCGCCATCCCCAGCACAAGTGACCAACCGCTGAACCAAGACAGTCTACCGGACGTAACACCGGCTGATGTCGTAACTGACGCGGACCACGAGGAACATACTATGGTAACAGATGCCGCCTCGCAGCCACTGTCCACCCGTGATCCTCTCGTTGTAACCTCCTCACCTGATAAACCTGTACTACCGCCCACCGGCGCGCGAGCGCCTCGCCCTATTCGTAAATGCCGTTTAAAATTACCTAAAGATCAATAGGTGTCATTTTTGTTTATTTAAATATTTAAGTAATGTTTGTGTTAAATTTGGTATTTTTTTTTATGTGTTATTTAAATTCAATACTTACTTAGCTTAGTACTTAATTAGCATGAAATAATAATATAAATAGTGATGTATTTTAACTTAATAATCAATTAATATTGTTTTTATTTCTTTTTGTATCAGAATAATGTTATTGGCTAGATGAAAGAATTATTTATTAAATTTTATTTAAATACACCTATATGTAATAATTAATAAATATGTATCTGTTTGAGTAGGGCTAATGTATAATGTTAGAGTTATATACGGCCTTAAATATAATTAAATCTTGGTTTTGAAAAAAAAAACATTTATGATAGCACAAAAATTGTATATCTTTGTAATTATAATTCGTTTGTTTAGTTATAATTTCTTGTGTTATAATTATAATTAGAACTTTGTATTTTGTGGTCTTACACCCTCGTGCAGTTAATCGGGAAAATTGTAATTTTAATTTATCACATAATTATTTTGTAAATGTAGGGGGGGAAATAATGTGAATTATTGTAATTTAAGGGGGGATATTGTAGTATATTAGAAGGTAATCGAATAATTATTTATCTGTCAGCCGAGTGTCGAAGCTGTCCCCACCAGTCCGTTAATAAACGTCTAGCCAAACGGTAGCCTTTTATTTACGCATACATATCAGATGTAATAAGGAGATTGGACCATGACCCACCACGCGGGCTCAGTGCGTATTGGTGGGTGCTAACGATTGCAGATGCAGCCGGGACAAACGGCTTATCATGCCTTAGGAAGCAGGAGATGGTAAATTTTCGATTGACCATCCAATGACCGGTCTTTGCTTTAAGTTGCTTAAACTTAACATAAACGATCGCAGCCGAACGCGCTAACCACTTGAGCCATCTAAGTCCTTAGAAATAATAGGGCGCATAGAGAAGACGGTTCACCTTTGTTTATATTAATTTTATTATAAATTTAATAAATATATTATATTTGACGACCTCCGTGGTCGAGTGGTTTGTACGCCGGGTTTCATGGTGTCGCCGACTCGTGAGGTCCCGGGTTCGAATACCGATGGGGGCAGATGTTTGTGTGATGAATACGAGCATTTGTACTCCAGTCATGGATGTTTAATATGTATTTCTATAAAAATTTACTTATATATGTACAATATATGTATTCTATCCATTACCCTAGCATCCCATAACACAAGCCTTACAGTGCTTACTTTGGGGCTAGGCTAATTGGTGCGAGTGTTGGACATATTTATTATTAGTCACAATGCTGTTTCAATGCTATTTCATAGACTCACCCGAGTAAAGTTGCATAGCGACACTGTCCTCGCGACAGAACCGAGTGCCACATATCATATTCTGCGTTTCTCTATCCGAATAGTCCAATTCATCAGTAACCACGAAGTAAACAGGCGGACCGATGTTCAAGTATTTGTTCAAATGCTGGAAGTATTTCAGCTGGAAACTGTCGTGGGGCATGGAGAGCTCTTGGTCCAGACCGATTTCTATGTGAGGCGCCACCTTTTGGAAAAACATAATAATTACATATTAACATACATATTTTTTTGTCTCTTCATTATGGTAAACGAACAATGATACAATCTTGTTACATTATAAACTAATACTACCAGTGTACTAATTGCACCATCCACTACATTTACCACAGTTTCTAACAGTACTTAGCATTGGGAGACTGTATAAATTTAACTTAAATTTACTTCTCTGCCTATTATTAATATATAAATACATAAATTTTAACACAATTTCTAATTTATTATTTATTTAAGAGTTTCTAATACTTTCCTTTAAAACGTAGTGAAAGGGATCGCAAAAATGACAATTCCATTAAATTAGTCGTTGTAAGTCTGGCCAAGCCGATACAAGGGGTAAATGCATTTACTCGCATCGCTATAATAGGATATTTGACAAGTTTTAGAAAACGATCTCACGTTATTGACTAATGTTTATGGAGTCCGTAAAAATTGGATATTAATCATTCTGTTGTGTATTTCAGTAAAAATAACCAAATCAAAAACTTTATTTTGAAGTCACACGACTGTTATTAAAATGTCAAACGATACATTGTAATGTCAAAGTGACAACCGGAAGTTTACTTGCGTGTGACGTCATTTTAGGCTCCGCCAATCCCAAGCGTTTTGGGTCACGTGACAATAGATTAGAAAACTATTATCTTTTTTCGTGGGTTTTTAGTAAAATTATGAATATTTTATTTGTAAAATGGTAAAATCCCCTGCCAATATTCATTCTAAACACAGATGCTAACAATTGGCACTTTATTTTTAATACTGTCAAATACCCTATTGCTGCTCATCTCTGGTTCTGTATAAGTTACACAGTCGCGCCACTCTAATGTAGGCAAATTGTAGTCACCCACCACAGTGAACTCGTTCACACTAGGTGAATGCAAGAAATGCAAGAATGGTGAGAAAATCTAAATAGGAAATATATATGTCAATGCTTAAACCCGTAGGTATATACACGGAACTAGTTATGCATCGATAGTTCCGTGATTTTATTTCAATAAGAACATTATCAACCAACGTTGAAGCGGCTGCGTGAAATGTCGCAATACCTACCTTTCGCTACTACAACGTAACCTAACGTGTCTAAATACCTGGTACCTAGCATCCACAATTTGATTATCACTTTTATCGCCACGCAACCAGGTTTCAGATAAGACAAACAAATCATAGTTATGAGACAAGATATTCATATACAAGGAATGTAGATAAACAATTTACCAAAACCGAGCAACAGAGCCAGGCGAAGAATATGATCATGACGGAAGCCCTCACTGCCAGCTTCATTAGGAACGGCACATAAGCTCTATTTGTTATTTAAGATAGCTTTAAAAGATAATTTAAAATGTCAAATAACTCACGGCTGCGGAGGAACAGACCCAGGCGAAGAATATGATCATAACGGAAGCGCCCCACTGCCAGCTTCATGAGGAACGGCACGTAAACTCCAGGGCATATCTCTTACTAGATATTTGTTATTGAAACTAGGTATAAAAGGTTTTTTTTTAATGGCAAACAACTCACGGCAACCGAGGAACAGAGCCAGGCGAAGAATATGATCATGACGGAAGCCCTCACTTCCCGCTTCATGAGGAACGGAACGTAGATCTGTCGGAACAAGTTGAATAAGGCGCCGTCGCCTTGTGGCGTGCTCTCGTCCTTTTTGCCTTGCAAGCAGCACAGGACGTCGAATCTGGGAATTGGAACGTAAAGATAAGAAATCAATTGCAAGATTGCGTTAAACATTGATTAGAACGACAAAAAAAAGTTCAGGCTGCTCGTTTGTGGAATGCCTTGCCAGAAGCAATCAGAGGTGCTAAAACATTAGCTTGTTTTAAAAGAATGTTAAAAGAACATTACTTGACATTTTAGCAGGTCGTCACATCATCCAAAGTATGATTGAAGTGTTAGTGTCTTTATAAATAGATGTATTATGTTTATGTATTTGTATTTTATTTTATTTTTCGTTGTACCTAATTATTTTTTAGTGTTATTAATGGTAGTTGCACTTTGAATGACACCATCTACTTCCCACTCTTTATGTAACAGTCCAGTTAACATACGGTTGCCTGGAAGAAATTGCTTCTAAGCGATAAGGCCGCCGTTTGTACTATTATGTAATAGTTTTAATTAATTGTAATTTAAAATATCATGGTGTACAATAAAGTGATCATTCATTCATTCATTCATTCAAAAACGACACTAATGCTGGAAACAGTGCTCGATTGACGGTCAGCGCTGACCGTCGGTCGGCGTAGCTATATCTGTGAAAGTATGCGCGTGATTTGGTATGCGCGTAAGGTACAGCTATGAGATTGTGGATGCGTTCAGTGCTTCACTGACGGAGCGACCGACCATACGCGCGTACGTACACTCAAAGCAAAAATGAATATTGCTACAGAGCGCCTTATTACTGAAGTGCGGCTTCGTCCGTCCTCATTTCAATAGGTTGGACAGAAATTGGAAACACATTGGAATGTTTCAAAGTATCATGTAACCTTGCTTGTAGTTCATCGAAACTTCTTATTAACATCTTGAAATAATAAAAAAAAAACCGTCTTTTTGCAATCTCGAAAATATATTTCAGAATTCGCCTTCAAGTAACCGTTCTACAAGTATTGGGTGTACATGATATCTTCGGCGCCTTCTATTCCGTCGTTTGTGAAAAAAATAGCGTGCACATATTAGAGCATTTACAGCAAAAGGGTTCATATTTCTCGTGAACTGTACACACGCGTCGCCGTTCGCCGTTAGCGTAGCACTGAATGCATTTTCGCAACCGACGGTCCACGCTGCCGGTCAGGACTAGTGTTGCCAGGTCCGACTTGTTTTAAATCGGTACATGTGATCAAAAAAATCGGGATTTAGGGTTGCAGATCGGGACAGTAAACAAAAAACAAGGGGTTTCTACGCTGGGTTTAATTTATTGCGTTTTAAACTACTAGTGCATATTTTATATTAATAACCTAAATTTAATTTTTTGATTAATAGGGACATTTAGCGTCCCGATCAGGTACAAATCGGGACGCGTCCCCAGACCCCTGAAAATCGGGACGTCCCACGGAAATCGGGATACCTGGTAACAGTAGTTAGGACGTAGCGTCGGTCAAACACTGTTTCCAGCCTAAGTATTCTTTCGCAATTTTCCGGACCTTTCAACAGTCCGCGCGTCACTGTCAATCAAGAAGTGCTTGAGTCGTGCGTGTTCACGCACTTCTGGATTGGGACAGATTTTGAGCGCACGTGGTATATTAAATATCGTCGAGTAGTAAACGTAAGTAACCTGTTGCCATGGTGACGACGAGTGTCGAGCGCCAGCAACGCCACGAAGCAGGTCACCTGCAGCAGGAAGTCGACCAGGAGTGCAGCTGCCGCGTATAAAGCGAACGCTCGCACTGCTGGCATGTCCGATAACGCGCCAAGGAAGAAGCATACGCATTCCGATGCTGAAGTCAACAGCATCGACGGACCTACTGTACCTAACCTATTGATCAGGAAGAAAAAACAAATTATAGCTGTTATTAACGGGATAGCTACCGTGTACCTTGTTTTAAGGGAGTCCCAGTTATTGCGGCACTGTAGCAACGCGTTTAAAACAATTTAAAAAAAAAACAGTAGTACTTGTTATTATAAAACTCATAAAAAATTACTTAGCGCAGATACACAAATTTCAACATACAGTGAGAGCAAGATTTTGTGACGTTTGGTCGAAATCGAAACTAATTTTAAGGAGGTATAAATAAGCTTATTAATTAAAGAGGAAGATTTAAATTAATTATTACTCTTTCCGAGTTATTATAAATTATAATGTTCCCATGAGTGAGGAGATTTACGTACTTAATAATCCTCATTTTATCAGAAACCCTCCTGTCAATGGCATCTAAGAGCCACAAGATCTAGATCGCACTGTACATAAGACGCGGTTTATTTTGGATTGCTACGATTAGTAGCAGCGGAGTATCGATGAAAAATGTTTCAAAAACGGGTAAAAATATCCATTTGTGCGATTCCGCTGCTTGCGCTGGCTAAAAGATTAAAGTTACATAAAAATCATGTATAACGGTATTGTTCCCGTTTATAAGTTCTTTATAAAATCCGCGACAGCATATATGTCAATATTTTAAGTTCGACTCACTATAACCTTTTTCTTCAAATTAACGCGGGTAAAACCGCAGAGGACCTCTAGTTGTGACATAACTGTGATAGTTAGACATATGGTATCGCCGACTTTTTTGTTGATATTGATTTCCTCTATAAAATTTAGTACATCATTTTGCTCTATTGTCAACGACTTCCGAGCGTACGAGACATAAGGTTATTTTTTGTTATTTTTTATAAACGTTGGGTTACATTATCGAAGATTCCATACGGAACCCTAACTTTTTTTAAATACTCTATAGCCTATGTTCACAACGGATAATGAAGGATTGTAAATCTGAAAGAATTTTTCGAATCGGTCCAATAGTTTCGGAACCTATTCAATACAAACAAACAAACAATGAAACCTTTCCTCTTTATAATATTATATACATTAGAGCAAGTAGATCAATATGTTTAAAAAAATTTAGTAAACAAATTAATGAGAAACCAATAAACAAGCTCTTTTACTAAATTTGGTTTCAAATATTTTTTTACTTCCTAATAACCATCAGTAATTGAATGTGTGATAAAGAAAGTACTCTACTAACTCGTTTTCACGAACATAGTATAACACATAACAATAAGACTTTTAGCGCTTTTTATATGTGAAAGTTGAAAAGGTTAGTAATTATATATTATTTGAAATGGTAAAAAACTCACGTGCGTCCTATATGCTCAGGTATTGTCTCATCAGGTCTCCTCGCATCTCTCTGGCTCGTTTGAACCAATATAAATATATTGTCTACGCCCACAGCGAGTACCAGAAACGGTATAACTTCCACTATGATAAGCGTAGCCGGCACTCCGATGAACCCGTACATTCCGACGGAGCAAACTACGGATGCTAACACTATTAGAACGCCTGGGGACAAATAATTTAGTATTTACTCATTTGATATTGTTGAAGGGTGAAAATAAGGCAACTTTTACCTGCCAAACTAAATGTTATTTTAGTCATCATCATCAACCTATTAATGTCCCTACTGCTAGGGCCTTCCCTATGAATGGAATAGGGAGTTTGGGCCATGCCCCACCACGCGGGCCCAGTGCGGATTGCGGGTGCTAACGACTGCAGGTGCAGCCGGAACCAACGGCTTAACGTGCCTTCCGAAGCACGGAGGAACTCGAGATAGAAGATTTTGGTTGATTTTTGATTTTGATCCAATAACCGACCACCGCGAAAGTTGCTTAACTTCAACGATCGAAGCAGAACGCGCTAACCATCTGCACCATCGAGCTCCTCAGTTATTTTAGTACGTTAAACTTAAAGCGGGGTTTTTTGGAAAACAAAGATTAAGTATGAATATTTACAGCCTTATTACAAAACGCGTACTTAAGTTAGTCTTCGTTTAAACCTAATATTGTATCTTGTCTCATTTTTAAGAAAGCAAAGTGACGGCATTAATTTTAGTCCAAGAATAACTCTAGTCTGCATTTTGTAATAAGTATTAAATTGATTATAAAGATAAATTAATTAAGCCTTAAAACATTGAATTTTCTTTTTATTGTGATTGGTAGAATCCCCAAGAACTATGTTCCAGGGCACGCGCAAAATATAAGGTTTTTTTTTAGAAAATATAACTTTACCCCGTTTGATATATAAATATGAAATTCAGTTGCAATAATACACAAAAGCATAATATTCAGTATTTGGGTTTGTGGGAGGATACTTCTCAAAGCATACGTTTCGAATTGTTCACTAGCTACTACTTTAGCAGCTTGAATAAGTTTGTTTACAAGTAACGTCGGCACTTCTCTTAGCTACTCGTGTTTGCTATTTGTAAACTTAACATCAGTCTGTCCTTTTCATTCCTTATAAAGCGTGATAAGGACAGACTGTTGTCAAGTTTACAAATAGCAAACACGAATAGCCAAACTAAGCGCCGGCATCCAATAACATTATTATTGTTAACGATATTAAATAACTGAGATACACCAAGACGAACAAAATCGTGCCCGAAACCTGTCCAAAAGGTACATTGGACGATCCACGGAGCTCCGTAAAATGATCGCGTTGTCAAAAACAATATAAGTCATTATTTTAACACCGTCATTCACCTTTGCATGCATACTGTTTAAGGTCTTAATTAAAACGCATGCGTCAAAGAGTTATGACAGTTCGAAATGCAAGCTCGTAAAATTTTACGACTTATTGCTATATGCAGTAGAATATAGACCTTATTTCTTTGACTCTACGCGCAATTCTGAATGCGCTGTGAGCAATATAGCAGGTGCGGACCGCGAGGAAAAGAGACGGTTATATTATTAAGACGGTTAAGCACTTCTTGATTGGGACACATTTTGAGCGCACATGGTGTATCTAAGGTATTTAAATTCGTGGCCGGCATCACACAGCAAGAATCAAATACTCACCTCCGATACCGAGGGTGATTTTACTGTCGATCAGCAGCCTCGAGAAGCTCGTAAATCGTCCGAGCGAGATGGAGATATACGCGAACATGATGAAGTAAGAGACGAGTATAGTGGAAACGTCCGACTGCGACTCGCGATCGAGTTCGTCCTCTATGGAACGCTCCGAAGTGTACGCTATGTCCATGTACGAAGGCATATAGTTCTCTGTGTAGTTCTTCATGAATGCTATGAACTCTTTCTCCCAGTCCAACGCTGGCTTGAGCTGCGCAACAAATAAATATGATTTACTTCAGTAGATAAAACTTTTAAAACGATTTTTATTTTTAAAATCTTAAAAGGTAACTGGGATATTTTCATTGTTATTAACACAAAACTTACCAGTTTTTTATCATGTTTGTTGTTGACCAATATAGTGATGATGAGAGCGTCTGCTTCATGGAACCGGGACTTCTTGCTGAGAGGTTCTCCCGGAGCTAGGAATCCGCCCAGTGCTACCGCTGGCAACACCGGCCCGCCGTATGGCGCTAGACACATGTACGGGTTTCTGGCAATGCAAGAAAAAGGTATAAAGTATGCGTTGATCTATGAAATTGTGGTAAAAATACTAAGGTCTCCCCAACTATAGGCACGTTATTATCGGGCGATAATATGCAGCATTGCGATATTTTGTTTTAAGCACATTATAATCATTATCAATATCATTAATTCAGTTTAGGCTGTTACAAGCACTCATGAATGTCTAGAAGCTACGCCATCGGTTCGTAAATAAACGGCGGGCGACCTTGTACTGAGAAGAACAGGCAAGAAATTCAGTAAGGGCTGTTTTTTCTCCCTGTTTTATCATTTACAGAGTCGTCAAGTTGAGAAATGACTTCAATACGTAATAATTAAATATACATTGATTGTTTACCTGCATTTTGATTTCTGTGTCGTACATTATAAATACAAAAAGTGTTATTTATATTAACATTATATTATTATAAATGAAAACGACTACAAACTGCTGCGATAATAACGACACAATAGAAGTATGACGTAATATCGCGATAACGCATCCGATATTATCGATCAATAATGCGCCTATGGACGTCATGTAGTCATGGACGTATAATTTGTATTTCTATATAAATATACTTATACATGTACAGAATATGCATACCCTAGTATCACTTAACACAAACCTTACAGTGCTTACTTTGGGGCTAGGCTAATTAGTATGAGTGTTGGAAATATTTATTTATTTAACGTACTTGGAGCACTTGATGATCTTATCCAGGTATGCGTTGTCATCCAAGTCGGCGATAAAGTCTTCCTCGTCGTTCTTCCACCACCCCCATACTGATTGGACGGTGCAAAGATCCGGGGTAGGGGGGCCGGTGAAAGGGGAAGATAAGGGGGAGAAGCAGATCTCCTCTATGCCAGTGCTGCCTCGAATCGCTGGTATGAGAAATGTATAATACTTTAGACCCTATACATTATAATAAAATGGTAGGAAAATCAAAATTGTAGTACATTGAATTTTTTTTTTAAATAATACTTAGGGTGTGATCTACAATCTATACTGAAGCCAAAAATATAGTTTTTAGAATTTTTGTCTCTTTGTATGTCCGGGATAAACTTAAAAGTACTGCATGGATTTAATTCAAATTTGGCACGAATATTATTAAGAAGTCGGGTCAACACATAATCTACATATTATCACGCTATCACCTACGGGGAATGAGCAGTGAACCTTTATTTCTAACTAACTCCATGCGTTCGAAATCGCGGGCGGCCGCTAGTAATAAAAAAAATATTTGACACATGACAAATTGATTATAAGGAAATAAAAAAACGGATCTATATTCGTCCATCTGTTGAGGAGCTAAGATGCCACAGACAAACAGACACGTCAAACTTAAATAACAACCCGTTTTTCCGTCGGGGGTTAAAAAGACAAAATGAAAAAGAGAATATCAAAAGGGTATCTTTTAATCCTTACGTGTTCTTAAGCATGCCATGGCACCAAGCTTCCGCTAATACCCATATAAAATTAATATTTAGTTAAACAATGTTTTACCCTTAGGCTGAACTAACATGGGCGCAGAGCCGAAGCAATGCGACGAGTCATATTTTTCGCCTTAAGAACTATTTTTACCTTAATAGTGGGAAAACGAAAATGAATTTGCAACAGGCGAAGCCCGCGAACTATGACGCGTCATCTCTGCATCAGTGTGAGTTGAGCCTTACGAACCAAGGTGTGCATTCAAAGAAGTTTACCGATTAGTAGTTAAAGACAAAAACAAATTCGTATTTGATCTTAAATGAGGAAAATCTCTAAAACTATGAAGATTCAGTGCAAGTGATTTTCGCCTAACAACGGTAGTCAAACTTTTTTTAATAAATTATACGATCAAGTCATTATAATTTATCTTTTTATGTCAAAATGGTGGCAAATAAGCGAATGGCCCGCCTGATGGTAAGCCTATAGACTTGCGATACCAAAAATATCACTCGCTGCCTGCCGTTGCCAATCCTGAACCAAAACCCTACCCAGTAGAGCCCTGGGAACCTTACTCACCGACAGAAACACAACACCACCAAATTGGTGCCAATTCTGGCGTGATTCTCTAAACTTAAAACTAAATTTAACATCAGTCTCTCCTTTTCATTCTGCATAGAGAATGACAGAGATATACTGCTGCCAAATTTAAGTTAAGGTTTAGAGAATCATGCTAGGAATCGACACCAATGTTGTGTTATTTTGTTGCAATCTTCTGTTAGACTCTGCTTTAAAAAAAAGGTCTTCTAAACTACTCGTATTATCATAATATGACTTACCCATAATCTTCTTCTGCAACTCCAACACTTCCAACATAAACGTCGAGTTGAACACGGGTCCGAACATGATCGTTCCCGAAGGTGACTCGTATTCTATGCCCGGTAGACCCTTGGAGCTGATGATGACCATCTCCGTGCGGTAGAAGGGTTCGAAGTGGGAATCGAAGTACTCGCGCTCGATACGCGACCGCGATGTGGGTGAGGCCCACAGTTCTACGGGGTTAGTTGTCAGTTGGATGTATTTCATGCCGTGGCCGAGCGCTACGATCACGCAGAAACCTGGGACAAACAGATAAATAATTACATATCGATGAACGATAAATGAAAATAGGTAAGATTAGTGGTACTTTGTTTGATATATATTTTTTTAATCTACTTAAATATGAAACGCTTATAGAACGCTTTGTTCTACTGCTGTTGATATAATTTTATTATAACGTTAATTCATAAACCTATTATACCAGTCATGCATAAGTATTGTTTCGGAGTAACTCCAAATTAAAATTTATTTATATTACATTTTCCTGCAAGCGCAGTTTTAAATACAACAAAGGCATGAAGTAGTCTTATTCTATCAAAAATATCAAACTACCCACATTAAATTCTTTATATCGCAACAAGAATCACTGCCTCATAAACTCCTGCATAGAAGGCAATCCCTACCCTAATCTAACAACACACTGACCTAAAAACAGCACAGTCCACGGCTTGGAAGCCATCAGTTGCCCCCACCACTGGAAGAAGTCCTCGAGCATAGTCTCAGCATCAGCCCCAAGTCTCTCGAAGAACGTCGCACTCTCTGCAGCGTCAGGCTGGTCTATGTTCCAGCCAACGGGGTGTGGGGTCGATGCCATCTCCTGGTTATTATCCGACGCCACACCTATGTGGGATAAACCTTATTAATAACGAAATTCTATCATAGAAAACTAATGTGGGTTTTTTAGAATGACGATCGCCAGATCATATCCGTCAAATCACCTATATCGTCATATTCCATGGATCAATTTAAACGCTAGTTCGATTAATTCGTGCCTAAAACTTAGTGCCTCAAGCCACAGTGGCGCCAACTGGCTGCGTTAATTTTCCTAAACACCCTCATTAAAACTAAAGTTACTAGCTTCACGATTGAATACGTTCAAACGAATAACATTAAGCTTTAAGAACGGAAAAGTAAACGGAAAAATTAACTTTTGTTTAAGGTGAATAGACATAAAGCCAGTAAAAAAACCGGCCAAGTTTCGGATTCGCGCACCGAGGGTTCCGTACAAACCTGTAGTAGGGTATATAAGTAAATGTTCAGTGATTTGATATGTATTTTAATTTAATACCTCTACGCGTTCATGAGAAATAAGGTAGTAACATTAAAATTTTCAAAAATATTTTTTATTATATGATGTAACTAAAAATTTACGGTTTTCGCAATTTTTTCTTTATCTGTACTATAAGACATTACTTCGTGACAAATTTAAAGATTCTAAGTTCACGGAAAGTACCCTGTAGGTTTAATTCCCGTGGGAGTTTCGAAACTTTGCGGTAATTTGCAGCATAAACGGCTGTATCTTTTGATTGTTTTGGCTTAGAAGTTTGATTTTCGCAGCTTCAAGGGACAGTAGACCTGAGTATTAGATATGAATTTCAGTTTGATACCTCCACGCGTTCCTGAGAAAAACGGTCTTGACAGACGGACGGACGGACAACAAAGTGATCCTATATATAGTGGGTTCCGTTTTTTCCTTTTGAGGAACAGAACCCTAAAAACTACGTATGTATTTATATTTTCAGAACATACAGAAAATATTATGTGTAAACATTCGTTTACGTTAACTTTATTTAGATTTATCATTATAAATACACTAGCAAACCAGTGAACCAAATGTTCACGAAAAAAAAAAAAAAAATTAATTAATTGAGAACTTCGGAGATTTTGTGTGGTTTCGTTTGAAATAGAAATCACGTGATTTCTCGAAAACCGGAAGTGCTACGTTACTCACATCCGGTTTGTAGTCTTATCAGACTATTCTTAACTTATAACTTAAACATTCTCTATATCTCTTACGGTTTGGCCGCTGAAACAGCACCACGGACGGACGGACGGACGGACTTGTCTAATAGATAAGAGATACTAATCCCTACTTATTCCTTACTTCCATACTTAATACTTTAAATGCGAAAGTGTTTCTGTCTGTTAAAGATAGCGACAATATTTTTTAGCAAAATCACAGACAAACTTGCGCAGTAGACGTTTTTATATATGAAATTGGTGCTGCGTAGGCTTCCTTGTCTATGGTCAATGCTCAAGAAGTTAGCCGGGGTGTATATGCTTAAACCGCTGAACCGATTTGGAATAGAGATCGATTGAATCCCGGGAAAGGACATAGGATAGTTTTTATCCTAGAAATTATCCTTTAAAGAAGGAAAAAAAGGGATGAAAGTTTGTATGTGAAACCAATATTTCCACGCAAACGAAGTGGCGGGCACTATAGGTAAGTATATAAATGCAACATTTGTCAAAGCTCAATTTTAACGCACAATACACATTACGAGTACTTAAGCAGAAAGGAAGTAGAATTATTTATGAGTAATTATACTAATAATGACGTATTAATGCAGCTGTGTTGATAAAGCCGCTTGATAATAATTTATTTCCTACTCAACATGTTATTATAAACGGTTTAGTTTTAGAAATGTCTTTTGGATAGAAAGCAATTTGAGTTGCCTTTTTCTAAAACATCTCAACATAATGTATTTCTTGCTTTGACTTTGATTCTAACGATTAGAAAGTAATGAATTTCTAACGATAAGAAAATAAACATAATTGCTATTTTATAAAGCAATCCGTTGCATTACCCGTTTATTTAGCGTATCTAACGTTAAAATAAACTTATGTACAATAGTCCATAAACTATATTTGAAATACAAAATCTACACTAGATATGCTACAAGTTCTGTAAACAAAATCCTTAAAAGGTAATTTAAAAAAACAAACATATATGTTTTACAGAATAGGAAAGTAACACAAAAAATATTAACTCATTCACTTTACAAAGCACAAGGCACTGAAAAAGCTACTATTGTCACACAGACCAATTTGCTCTACCCTGTGAACCTGCTTTTATCAGTTAAAATAATATACAGTAAACGTTAAAGGGCATAGAACTTTGTCATTTATTTTGTAGGTATCTTAATATCTTTTATCAAGCTATCTAGCTTCAATCGATTTTCTATATCATTTTAGTCAATCTTTGTATCTCATATTATAGCAAGACAATATTTCGAATCAATTAGTGAAGACAACTTTGGATAAATTCAAGACTCTTGTTGACTATACAGTAGTTAGCAGAGCAAATCCGTAGGTGTGACCGAAACTTTGTGAGATGACAAACAAAAGACGTTAACAGTGACAAGCACAGGTGCACAGAACTGTGAGTCGCGCAGTTTTAGCAGCACAGTTAAAGTAACACAGTTTTATGAGCACAGTATACGTACTGGATCTGTGGCTGTGCAGCGGACTTGTCTCGGGACCGCCTCGCCTGGCCTCCGCCGCCCTCGCCCACCCGTCTGTCCCAATCCCAACACCGGAGTTAGCTTACACCTTACTTATCTTACATGTTACTTTAGTTAATGAGGACTATCTATAAATTACCTAGTCCATCTGTATAAAAGTACAATAAAAAAAATATATCATTAATTACATTTTAATGATTTATTCTGAACATTAAAAAATATTTTACTAAAAATAACAAAGCTCTAAAAAAAGAAGCCCTTTCAACAAAATTTTGAATTATAACATTTTATTGTGACCATTTTCTAGTTAATACTTTGCATGAAAATATTTTTTTTATGTACAGACATACAAATGTTTTAGCTTTGCATATTAATTCTGATGTAGTTCATAGATAGTCGCACAACCTTCACCGTAACTAATGCGTTTGTTGACTACAGTTAGGTGTTGTCGTGTGTGCTTCTAAAACAAATCAGTGAATCAAATCAAATAATTTTTCGAAATCATTGAAGAAATGGTTCTTAAACTAAAACTATAAAAGCCTTATTTCTATTATTGTATAGCACTTCTATTTAATATATTATATACATATATAGCTGTTGCACGTTCGTATGTTATCTTATCGGTCATTTCTGTTTAATTTTTTGCTTGAATTGCAATGATGTAATTTCATCTGCCAAAAGATGTTTTAATAACATAATATCCTGGAGAAAATATTAATAAAAATAATATGTTTACATAAAAAGCTAGTAAAAAAGAACCTATATGTATTAATTAAATATTACCTTTTTACGTAACATATTCATACTAACGTTCGCGTGCAGGGAAAGTAAATTAAAATACTTGATAAATTGAAACGCAATAAACATAAAACGTTAAAGACCTTTAGTCTTAAGTACAAATAAAATTGCTATCGTTTAGATAAGAACGATTTAGCATAAGTAGAATAGAAATAATTATAAAAACTATTGTTTGAAAACAATATGCATAATTTTCTTTGTGTAATAAAAATAACATAATTATATTAATCTCAATTAATAATAAGCCATTTTAATTGTGTACCTATCATCATATTATCATGAAATCTCGTGTTTTCATGATTCTAGATAAAAATGTTTGTGAAAATTACGTCTTACTAATACAGTAAAGGTCAAACTAATTTTTCACGTGGCATTGGCGTAGTGAACTACCATATTAATGAATCACAAACTATCTCTGTATTTCAGATAAATTTTATGATTTCCATAAACTTTTGACGACTTTAAAGATGGTTTAGTAAAATGTCATTAATAAAATGTGAATATTTATTAATTTAACATACAAACTTTAAATGTAAAAAATGGTCTTAGAAACCTTAAAACGTAAACATTTTCCGTAATCATTAGTTTGTATGTGAACTATGCGCTAACGGCGCGGCGTGCGTCCATGAATTATATTATCAACCTTTGGACGCTATTTACACGGAAAATGACGTAATTCGCAATAAACCACAAATATTATTATATATAGAACAGTTGTACATATAGTTACAATTACATAAAACACAAAAAAATATCTACTGTATGTCCGTTATAGCAAAAATATCTACTATATGTTATAAACCGGTTTCATTTGAAAAGCAATAATGCGAAAACGGTTTAGACATTAAAACGATGCATTTGGCGCATTCGGTCCATTTACTTTGTTTTATTTTACCATCAATCAATAAAGTAACAAGTGAATCTATACATCTATCTATACATATAAATAAAATTGGAGTGTCTGTTTGTAATATTGAAATAACCGCTTTTTACTACTTGCATATGAGAGTATTAGAGTTTTTTTTTTTACAATTTTTGGCTGACTGTCTGTCTGTTTGTTCCGGCTAATCTCTGAAATAGCTGGACCGATTTTGACGGGACTTTTATTGGTAGGTAGCTGATGCAATAAGGAGTACTTACCTTAGGCTACTTTTATTTTAGAAAAAAAGTTAACGCGGACGAAATCACGGGCGGCCGCTAGTTCTAAATAAAATAAGTTAGTTTATAGGTAACTACTGAATTGTGTGTTCCAACACCTCGTGCATAGAAATATACTTAAGATAAATGTACATTGTTAATCATAAAAACATTGACGTTTCTTTAACACCGTTAAAAATGGAAGCATTTTACTCAGCTATTGTTAAATATACTACAAGTATCGTGCATTATTGTAATCATTCAACCATGATACGAGCTTGCACGACATCGCAAGTTAACATGCAACTTTGTACCTACTGAACTAAGACATAGAGTAAGAATTGCGTTTTCACTGATGTAAAGTTATTTTGCAATTTCGGCAGGACCTCGACTAAGGATTTCAACTTAATTTTAATGTTTTCATTATATGACATTTTCCGTATCTACGTAATTTACAGAGACCAGTTTATTTATATGTATCATGTTGGAACAGCCACCATGTTTAAAAGATAAAGACGCCGAAAGATTTTAGAGGCATTAAGTAGACCCTTCATCGCTCATTCTAAAGGATTTTGTAATTAATATTTTGATACTGTCGTCTGTTATGTAATCCCATCTTTGTATGATCAGCTTTTGAAAGCAATTTAAATGCAAAGCAGTAGACTGTCGGGACTGGACCAATATATACAGTGTGAATAGAATTGATTGCTTTTGTGTTCCATTAATAGATCAAAGACTTTGTCATACAAAATTTGCCAACACCCCTGTACCCTTTGTACAGGTATAGTGAGTTAAGTGATGTTTTGTGTTTAAGGAATTACTATTACAGTTTAAAATTAATCCTTAGCCACCACAAACGTTAAACACGTTTGGGTTTCTGTGTGTGCCTATAATTTAAGTACAATACATAATATAAAGAAATTGTTAAAAAATGTCATGTATTACTATTTCTATGTAGTTTTTTATATACAATAAAATATCGTATTTTTCTTTACAGTGTGTGTGTGGCCGAAGTAGTTAACGCGGATAATACTCGACGTACTATGAAGAGAGACCTTTTCATTAAAATTAACTCTTACAACGCGGCAGCCTTCCATGACCCGCTACTATTTGTTTTGAGGTACGGAATAATTCATCGCTGAGCGAATACAAGTATGATAAATTACGATACGAACGAAACGAAAGTTATTTATCTTCGCTTCATGATGCGTTAATAGCACAGAGCTCCCACATTAGAGTCCGGATTACCCAATTTCTGTTTGAAATCGAAAAACGGGAAGGGAAGCCGCGTTTTGATTGAACACGTCAGTATGACGTCACGGCGGTGCCAAAGCGTTTGGAGCTATATCTTTACAGCTTATCCCACACCCGCGCCACGAAGATTTGTATACTTATTGCGCTAAAATTAGCGTCTAATTTTTTTGCGTTTATACATACAAATTTATTATGCCCCAAAACCCCCTTTGATGCATGTCAAAAACCACCAGTCAAGATGTCGTATAATGTCTCTCGGCACGTAGACCAAATGTTTTTTACGATAGCCGTTAATGATTTCCCTAACCTGCGTTTATCGCGCTTTATACATATACGAAGCTTTGTGGTGTTAAACGCAGGTGTGGAACAGGCATAGCATGGCACTAGTGAGCGTCTTTATATGCGGTCTCTAATGGGGGTGCTTGGTGCGTGATGATAGTATCTAAGATACATATAATAAAATGGTAGGAAAGTCAAAACTGTACATTGAATATTTTTTTAAAAGAATAATTGGGGTAACAATCTATACCGAACCCAAAAATATAGTTTTTAGAATTTTTGTCTTAATGTTCGTATGTATGTCCGGGATAAACTCAAAAGTACTGCATGGATTTAATTCAAATTTAGCACGAATATCAGTAAGAAGTCGGGTCAACATATAGGCTACATATTATCACGCTATCACCTACGGGGAACGAGCAGTGAACCTTTCTTTATTTCTAACTCCACGCGTACGAAGTCGCGGGCGGCCGCTAGTAGATTGACAAGTGTTCGTTACAAAGGTGTCAGTAAACTCACCGATAGTATTATCCGGCTGGTTGCAGCAGTAGACTCCACTGAGGAACAGCGTGGTGAATATGACGAACACGATCGCCATGACGACCGCGTACCCGTCCACGCCGTGGATGCTGAAGGGGCGCGGCGCGGGCGCGGGGGGAGGCGGCGACGGGCACGACTGCGCGCAGTCCAGGCACGAGCAACCCGGCTGACCCTACAAATAGGCGTAGATCAGTAAATCCCAGCTTTATAACTAGCTTTAGTACAGTACCCTTAGTACAAGTTTGAGCTCACGAAAACTATCATAGTTTTCGTAATTGTAAATTATGTTTCTATGACCATTTTGGTGAAAAGTTACCGAATATTCTTAAAATTTAAGAAGACAAATGATTTAATGACAGAATTTAAACACTGTTGATTTGTATTGAAACGAAAACAATAAAATCAATACCCTTAGTACGAGTGCGAGCTCACGGAAACTATCATAGTTTTCGTAATTGTAAAACTCGTACTAAGGGTACAGGTCACGGCACGTAACTTTAGCGCTGAACAAAACGCGTCAGGGATAGCTGCGCATGGGTACGACTGGAGAGCCAATCGGCGCAACGCACGCCCACCCGCGCACCTCGTTTCCCCCCAAGATATCTTAATTTTTACTTCTGCGCAATAACGGTCAGCGCTAGAGTTTCGTGCCGCAACTTATACAATGCCCGCTTTAGCCTGTTGAGAATCTAACGGTTAAGGCACGAGCAGCCGGGTTGACCCTGGAGACAGGCGCAGATCAGAATAGCCCAGCTTTACGACTAGTTATCGTACTACGCCCGCTTTCGTTTGTGAGAATCTCGCGGTTTAGGCATGTGCAGCCCGGCCGGCCTTGGTGACAGGCGCAGATCAGAATAGCACCCAGCTTTACGACTAGCTTTTATATTGTGCCCGCTGCAGTGTTTTGAGAACCACACAAGAATCTCAAACGACCGCCATGACGACCGCGTACCCGTCCACGCCGTGGATGCCTGAAAGGGCACGGCCCAGGCATGAGAAGCCCGGCTGACCCTAATAAGAGGCGCAGATCAGCAAAACCCAGCTTTATAACTAGCGCTCGTACTGTGCCCGCTGATTTTTTTTTTAGAACTCCACAAGAACCTAACACGAACGCCACGACGACCGCGGACCCGTTCACACCCACATTAGTTATTCCATTACTTTGCATTGGTACTTCGCAGAATTACTGCCGACCGGCGCCCTTAGAGGGGGAACTAATCGCCCGCCTTACACATCATAGTAACTCCACCTACGAAGACAGACATATGCAGTGCAGGCGGGGACTTCATTTAATTCACCCGGATTCAGCCGAACGTCTCAATCTTATCGGTTACCACTGACATTTCTTTTATTAAATACATTTTAAAAAAAGAAATGTTATTATCGTGACGAATGATGTCACAGTAAAATATCTTGGAATTGTTTATTATTCACATCGATGATTCCATGATTGTTTGCTGATATGTTTTTCCAAAGCTTATCTATATTGTATAGCTTAAAGGGAATGGCCGGCAATTGTCTTATCAATACATTTTTTATTATCTTTACGAATGACGTGGTCACATTAACGTATCTCAAAAATGTTCATTGTTTATATGATTATTCTAAGATTTGCTGATAGGTTCAGTAAAAAAAACCAAGATGACTCAAAGACTGAGCGACCCGATAGTGCGCAGCACTAGCAGCATACTCGTGAATTGGACCAGTACCCTTAGCACGAACCAATATCGAATAAGAATCGAAATCGAGTCCGAAATGACATTGACAAATGTGTATTTGACAATGACATTTCGGACCGTTGTTTTTGTTAGTTGTTTATTAGTTTGTCATAATGTACACATTATATTTTTTCTATTTGCAACCTTGTATCCTTAAGAGGTTATGGGTAGTCATGCTCTTTTAAAATCTCTTCGGTGGAATCGTTTGTGGGCGGGTCATTGCGTTCCCTATAAAAGCGTTGAGCGAAGCGAATGCTGGTTCATGCGTCATGCTCGTGAACGGTGCTGCGGGATAAGTCTGCTCTTGCTACATTGGGTACTATTTATCGTAGGTTTTAACTTAAATCGTACATTTTTCTTTTATGTCTAAACTGTAAGACACGGCATTCTTAAACTATGTGTACAAATCAGTATTTTATAAATTGCATAATCTTATTTTTTATATATTAATTATATTTGTAATGCCAATCATTTTGCAATTTGTCGACTGTATATAAAATACAGCGAGAAAAAAACAGCCTTTGCTGAGTTGCTTGCCGGTTCTTCTCAGTAAAAGGTCTCCCGCTGTAGCTTTGCGAACCGATGGCGTAGCTTTTCGACATTCACAAGTGCTTGTAAAAGCCTAGACTGAATAAACGATATTGAATTTGAATACTATTTCGGTAAGTGAAGCTATTGAAATTGTATCGTATTATTTCTTCATAGGGAGCTCGATAGCGCAAGTGATTAGCGCGTTCGACTGCAATCGTTGAAATAAAGCAACTTTCGCAGTGGTCGGTCATTGGATGGGTTACCAAAAATTTACTATCTTGAGCTCCTCCGTGCTTCGGAAGGCACTTTAAGCCGTTGGTTCCGGCTGCATCTGCAGTCGTTAGCACCTACCAATCCGCTCTGGTCCGTGGCCCAATCACCCTCCATCCGTAGGGAAGGCCTGTGCCACAGCAATGGAGACATTAATAGGCTGATGATGATGTCTTCATAAAAGCAACTTTCGCAGTGGTCGGTCATTGGATCCGTGACCATAAATTTACTATCACGAGCTCCTACGTGCTTCGGAAGGCTAACGTGATGATGTCTTCATAAAAGATATTTTATTATCACTTACATCAACTCCGACATTGCACGGCCTCGTGGGAGGATTGTACGGGGTGAATCCATCGACTGGCTCGTCCCCGCTCTTGTAGTTGATCTGGAAGGGCACGAAGGGCACCTCCGCGTCGCCCATGAAGTTGAACCACCGCTGCGGAGTGCAGTACGCGCTACCGTAGTCGCCGCACATTAGGTCCATCGCCATTTGGTTCGTTGACGGCATTTGCACCTGTACGAAGGGAATTAACTTATAGAATATTGTGGGTTACCTACAATGCGATGAGATGGCGCTGCCTTGCATCCTAAGAAAATACTAGAGGAAAATCGACACGGCCATTACGGTCGTGGTAGCATGATTGGTCATTGGGATAGCGGTTAATTGGGAACGTGATTTTTTGTGAAATTTTCTTTAGAATTAAACATCTAGGAGTTAAATGTTTAAAAAATAAAAATCTTAAGGAACTTGATGACGCATGTGGATAGGCAAGGGAAAACTAAGTGTTTGAAATTTGTTTTACCTAATGTTAAACAGGTAAAAACGAATGTAAATATAAAGGATCGAAATGTGAGCCTTGTAGATACCACAGTGTTCTTAGGAATCACACTAGATTCAAAGTTGCAATGGGGCCCACATATTGATAAATTGTCGAAGAGACTTAGCTCTGCAGCATATGCTGTAATGAAAATACGTCAGTTAACGGATATAGAAACTGCCAGATTAGTCTATTTTAGTTATTTTCATAGTGTAATGTCTTACGGTATTTTACTGTGGGGAAATGCCGCCGATATTCAAACAATATTTGTGTTGCAGAAGCGGGCTATTCGATCAATTTATAATCTTAAAGTTAAGGACTCTTTAAGAAATAAGTTTAAAGAAATAGGCATAATGACGGTTGCATCACAATACATATATGAAAACTTAGTATATGTCAAAAAAAATATTAGTTTATTTACTAAAAATAGTGAAATACATACACTTAATACTAGAAGTAAAAATAAGTTAACTTTACCTGCTACTAGGCTCCACAAAATTAATAACTCGTTTAGAGGCCTCTGTGTTCGCTTTTACAATAAAGTCCCAAGCAATATTCAAGAGTTGAGCCTGACTAAATTTAAATCGACTATTAAAAAAACTCTTATTAAGAATGCTTATTATAAAGTGTCTGATTATATTACAGACAAAAATGCTTGGGTTTGAACTGTTCCAACCATTCCAACGGGTATTTCTATATGATATATATTATGGATCATGTGTTGATGATACTTTTATTGAAAAGCTGTATTTAAAGCTGATTACGTAAGGAAGAATATCAGACTATTTAAGAAGATTTGAATGACAAAACGGCGTGGTCATGATTTCTCCATTGTTTTTGCTTTGTAATTGTTTGCAGTGTCCTACAGATAAATGACTTTAAGTTTAAGTAAATATGTTGTGGTTGATATAGGTGGTTATGGGTAGTCATGCTCTCTTAAAAGTCTCTTCGGTGGTGTCGTGTGAGGCGGGTCGTTACGTTCCCTAAAATATGGTTGAGCGAAGCGATGGCTGGTTCATGCGTCATGCTCGTGAACGGGTGCTGCCAGCGGAGATGAGTCTGCCCTAACTACTTTGATATTTAAGATATAAATGTTTAATTACACCTATTATAAATAACTCTGTTTGTATTTATACTGTGTGACACAGCAATCAAAATGCAGGTGTACAATTAATGTATAATTTCACATTATGTAATGAAGGGTGACTTCATGAATCATCTCTGAAGTCATTTTTCAACTTGACGACTCTGTAAATGATAAAACAGGGAGAAAAAAACAGCCCTTGCTGAGTTTCTTGCCGGTTCTTCTCAGTACAAGGTCTCCCGCCGTAGATTTACGAACCGATGGCGTAGCTTCTAGACATTCATATGTGCTTGTAACAGCCTAAACTGAATAAATGATTTTGATTGATTGATTGATTGATTGATATTGCGTTGGGCCTGTTATTGTGGAAGTATCGCAATGGTCGGTCATTGGATTGGTGACCAAAAACTCATTATCTCATAAATAAATAATAAATTTCGTGCACACTATATCCTGAGGGATCCTTGATCATGGATCAAGTTATCTATTACGCCGGCAGACGAAGTATCATAATGCGTGTCTGATGTAGTAATTAAACCTACATTTATCAAGATAGCGTGTATGTTGATAGGTGTTGACGGTCACTTCGTAAAAGGAAAATCAGGAATAGAGCATAGAAATGTACGTATGTTGGCGTCACAGACCATGAGATAAGACACAGTATTAGGTAGTAGCAGCGTAATTAGGGCGTAGAAAAATAATAATGGTGGATGCAAACATTAAATGTAATAAAATCAAGTGTGCTCTAAAAAATGTACATTAACTTTTTAACATTAATTTTTTTGCTAATGTGCTAAAACTTGCCTACATTTGTAGTAGACAATTTTGTTTCACTGTCTCAAAAGAACAAGATTACTCTAATTAACTTCATACGTCACCATCGATTTATTGATGAATGTAACATTATTATAACGACGTTAGTACATCTCTTAAAATTTCATTGTTGAATATCAAAACTTTACCTGTGAGCAAGAGCTGTATGTTGTGTTCATATAAGTCGCCCCGAGGTGATAGTCTATTTCCGTCACCATTTTGTGGGTTGCTGGAACAAAAACATGAGTCGTGTAAAAAACTAATTAAATTTAGCTAATAGGGTATTACAACGATTTTTTAAAAGTGTCTCAATTAAATTCTAAAGAGCTAATATGCTACTCTAAAAAAAATGCAATCGTTAAGTGCCTTTCAATACATTTAAATTGAACATTTTCAAATTTCGCGCGTAGTTAAACGAAAACGCTGGATGCACCGGACGCCATATTGCTATGCGGTCTTGACGTCATTTATACTGTAAATATATGCGTAACCTTGGTTACGAAAACATTAAAAGTACTGAGTTGACAGCTGACACTTTGGCATATACTAGCGGTGTGACGTAATAATGTGGCGGCTACTACGTCTACTATTTGATCGTGTTTTAAAACAGATAAGAAAAACTGAATTGAATTTTAAAATGCATTTTGTTACTTTATGAATTGAAACTAACATTTTCCGACTCCTGTTTAACTAAACTATCGCAATAATATTTATAGTTTTTTTCTCAAGTAGAGTGAACCTATTGGAATCTGTAGCTTAAGTTGTGAGTGACAGAGGATAATTCGTGGAATGTGATAGTTAAGTTGTACATTCTTCTAGCTAGTTCTAGCTAGTCTTCAATTAATTAATCAACTGGTAAGTAATTAAAATTCGTTTAGACTTCAAGTAAGTACATCTCATGAATTCACGATGTTTCCGTTGAGCGTGGTGAGAGTTGAACGGAAAAATTAACAAGCAATAGTTTCTATTTATTTTTTCACGTAAAATCCATCACAAGCTTTTATGGCACTGGCGCTTTTGATTTGGACCATTAAACTGCTTAAACTTCACCGGCTTGATGAAGTCGCATTGGTTCAGGGCGCAGGTCATGCCGTAGATGTGTTTCAGGAAGTTGTCCATGCAAGACGGACAGAGGGCCCGATCGCGGCCATCTCGATATTGGTTCGGACACTCACTATTAAACTGCTCTATCTTCACCGGTTTGATGAAGTCGCTCTGGTTCGGGGCGCAGGTCATGCCGCAGATGTGCTTCAGGAAGTTGTCCATGCAGGACGGACAGCGGGCCAGGATTTCTGCCATCTTGATGTTGGTTTGCACGTTCTGCAGCTGCTGTGTGTCGCAGCATGTCAACCCGGTTTTGGCTAACTCTGGACAATACTTCTTCAGTATCGTCTGTAGACAAAAACATAGCGTCAGTAACTAATATACCATATAAACAAAAGAACATGTTTTTGATAATATCTTAGGAAAGTTTTAGTAAAACATATTCTTGTATTTTTTTTTTCAGGAAAATTTTCTTTATATAAATATCTGGCAGTTAAATGCTTATTTTTTTTAAATATTATAGTTTTACAAACACGCTGAAATGTCTGAATAAATTCCTGCATGCACATACATCTGAGATCAGCGATTTTCTCGATATTTCTAATACCACATATTGCATAATGTGCAAATATTCTATTCTTTTACATAACATGCTATGATCACATAGCATTCTTCACCTAATTTCTAATACAATGTAATGGAAAAGGCGGAGGATTCATCTCCTACATAATTCAAGAACGTCATGATGGTAAGTTTTGTCAATGGCTTCAATATTAACCACAATCTGTTAAGGTATTTTATCAGTCCCAAAAATAATGCGACAGATAGACCTAACTAATCTCGTAAAAAAAACATTCATCACTAAAGAATTCTCTGCTAACAAAATACTTTACAAAAACCCACTTGATCGGAAGAAAACAGATAAAAAAAACAGTGAGTCCATATTAAAAAAAAGAATCTGAGAGACCTTAGAGAAAAATATCGCTTCTACGAATTACACATTCACTACATTTACTGATTGAAAACAATAGGTATTAGTCAGAGCAGACGGTCACCGCCAGGCGTCTCAATCTTCCTTATCTAACAGGGCACGATCAAGGCGCTTTGTCTCTTCAAACAAATCTAATCGTGGTCAAAGATCAGTTAACGGCGCGGGTTATCGGCTCCCGGACATTAATTAGACAATAAAACTAACATGGTTATGTAACTTAGGCCGTACCATGCACTCTTTCACGAGACGTTATTTTGCAGTGATCAAAGTAAGACAGCGCTATTTACGTAGAGCAGCATCCCACTTCCACCGCTGCATATGTATCGCGAATGAGAGTTCATAGGACGACCTATGAGGGTCGACAAAATTATTACTTCAACATAGTGATTCTTTGTAAAACGATTGACTGAGATGAGTAAGTCAAAGACGTAGAGCAACATCCCACTTCCACCGCTGCATATGTATCGCAAACGAGAGTTCATAGTACGACCCTCATTACTCGACAAAATTATTAATTCAACATAGTGATTCTTTGTAAAACGATTGACTGAGATGAGTAAATCAAAGACAGATATACCATATGTTCTTTGTCCTCAATTATTGCAGCCATTATTTTCAGACATCATACGTAATAACGAGACAAGTTCTTGATGTTCTTAACAAAATATGTTTTGACTTATAATTGCTGTTTCATTTTAATGACCTCCAAAATAAAAAGGAGTCAATTAGACACGGCAAAGGGTTCAATTTGGAATGAAAGAGGCCGCTAAGTCACGACTCGCGAGGGTTGTTTGTTTACTGCGACGCGGCAGGCGCGACAGTAAACAGTTGAGTCACGTGAACATTAGCCGGAGTAGAGAAAAACGTTTCGAGTCAGTCACAGTAGCTCACGTGCAAAAAAAAGGAGTTGATTCGCGCACTAGTCACGTGAAATTGTCAGTAATAATAATGACAGTGGGGTGTTACCAAGACGATGGAAGGCGGTCTTGCAGATGATGAAATTGTCGAATAATGGAATAAAATCATCTAGTAGTAGTAATTTGTTAGAAGTTTGATCAGAGAAGTACCTGCTATTCATTATTTTTCAGTAAACATAATGTGTCATCATTTCCAAATAAGCAATATACTTGTAAATATTTCCGTAGTAATTTGTTAGAAGTTTGAACAGAGAAGTACCTGCTGTTCATTATTTTTCATTAAACATAATGCGTCACGCATTGTCATTTCCAAATAAGCAATATACAACAAAATAGAATTAGTATTGGTTTCCAAAAAAAAAATACTTAGAATAGCGAACATTATTTATTTATCAATCGAGATAACAGAATTAGCCACAATCACAATTGCACATACAACGATAGTCATACTTTAGCTAAACAACAGGGAAATTCTGTAACGTAGATACAGAAACACCTGGTTGTTAATGATAACAATAGAAAAGGTAATAAATAGGAAACGAGCAAGTCATCGATGTGATGATAACGCATATTATCATTCGCGTTGATGAATCGCGGCATATCAAAATTGCTGTATAGAAGGTTTATTAACAGTCATACAATGTTCCCGATAATAAGATCTTGTTGAATAATGAAAAAGAGTAAATGAATGACTTATATTTAGCAACTGCATCAATAGGAAACTTTATGCAGATACTGTAATCACACCCTTTTTCATTTGTTTATACTTTATATAGAACAGAAATGAGCTTGTAGTACACACATAGCGATTAATAAATTCATATTAAATTACGTAAGATTGTAGATACTTATGCCCGTATTATAGAAAGATTCTCAGTAATGAATCTAGTCTTGAGCATAGATTGAAAGAATTGTCGCTATATATAGCACATAGCGACATCCCTTTATTTGAATATAGTTATATTCAAATAAAGATCAACATCAACACTTAGTTGTCATTCTGTAATACGGGCCTTAGTATCGCCGCACACGGGCCATACGCCACAGCCACAAACGCCGTCACGAGAAGCTAGAAGCGGCTACTAAAGTGGCTGAAGCGCGCGACAGTGGCCGACTAAGGTAAGGGAATCGCGCGAGTGACGTGTGGCGGCGTTTCTTATCGGCGCTTTAAGTGGCCGGTGCGGGCCACAAGAAACGTGAACGATTTGTAGCGTGTGGCGGCCACCGGCGTACCGTGTGTGGCGAGTCCATATAAAATGTATGAAAACTACAAGAAATATGCCGGTGGCGGCGTTTTGTGGTTGTGGTCGGTGACCCGTGTGCGGTGACACTTAAACTCAATAACATCATGTTCGCTTGAACTTGTTGGATTGGTGATGAGTAGGGTGAAATATTATTTGATGTAACATTATTTATATAACTTTCATTTTTATTTCAGTTGTAAACGTTAATACAATGTTTAGATAGCGTGCAACAACAGTGGCGAGTTCACGGTCAGCACAAATGAAAATAATGTTCTCAACAAAATATGTATGTCAAATATTACATTATGTTTATGTAATAAGGTTAAAACCACTTTGCCTTGGCATCAAACCATGAAATGTTAATAGGGGATGTTACGACGACTTATATAAATTGGGAATTACTTGATGCCAAATGACACTTTACGTACACAAAGTGTTCAACAAAATCAAGTTTATTAGATTAACTAATGCCGCCACTTCACTTGGCTATTCGTTATGGTTATTTGTGAACATGACAACAGCCTGTCCTTATTATGCTTCATGAGGAATGAAAAGGATAAAATAATGTCAAGTTTACAAATAGCAAACACGAACAGCCAAGCGCCGGTGTAAAATTAGAAGTCCTTGCATAACCGTACGTAATAAACTAATAGTTTCAAAACAAACACAGTTGCATTTTGTTAGAACACATTCGAAGAGTAGGTAGTTCAGAATCTTAATAAAAATTATTTTACTTTATCTACCTAGATAATCAACAAGTTTCAAGTTTGAAATATCAATTGGGAAATCTTAGGCTCACACCATTTATGGTGTACAAAACTAACAAACGAAGGACCCGCTAGTAAGGTAACTTCACTTAACTTTCACATGGTTTAAAATACTTTGTCGAATAACATGTTATTTCAAGAAAAGAGCACCTTAAACTTTCCCATTATTAAATTTTCTACTTGTTGTATATTTCTTTATCATTCGATCAATTACACAACTATTCTTATTTTGAAGTGAATGAAAAACATGGAATGAACCACGGCTGACTTTTATTAAACTACTTTAACAGTTCTACGTAAACTAATTGCCTCAGCGGGGACCTCACATTTGCGGCGTTTGGAGTCGAGACTCAGGGTCCTTAGGGGTCCAGTGCCCACCATCTTTTCAAAGATATCGCGAAAAGGTTGGTGAGGACCACTGGAGACCGCAGAGCCGGCGGCTATTTCGCCCAACGCATAAGCCTCGCCATCTAACGGGGAAATGCCGTTAGCATCCTGGGAACCTTTGCAGACGGGGAAAACTTAGGGCAGCTATTGTTTGTATCCTAACATAGTTTTAATTTTTGTCTAGTTTTAGTTTAGTTTTAGACAATAGTAGATACGAACTTTTTGATGTGTAACATCTTTCCTCTTGCTTTCGTGCAATTTGTGGGAGTGAATACGTGAAGTGGGACGGAAGTGTGTAACAGGAAGTTTGGGAAGGGCCGAAAGGCGCGCTATTTGATTTGATTTTAGACCATAATGTTCAAATGGCTTATTCCTTTTGTAGACGTTTTATTCCTTTTTTACTAATATAAGGTGAGGTTTCAAATGTTACACATCATACGCGACTACTGTAAGGCTCGCTCGTTTTTTTTTTATATTAAAAGAGTGCAATTAGACACGCGTATGGCCCGCCTGATGGTAAGCGGCTACCATAGCCTATAGACACTTAAGTTACCAAAAATATCACTCGCACTGTGACCCATTCCCTGAATCTTACCCACCGACAGAAACACAACACTACTAATGGTAGCCATACACACTACGAGAAATCGTTACGATTAGACTGTACCGTCCGAACGGTACCGATAAATCGTAGCGTGTATGTTATAAAACTGCACAGTTTCCTATACGTACGCCACGTACGATAAACTGTTCCGTTCGAACTGTACAGTCTGATCGTAACGATTTCTCGTAGTGTGTATGGCTACCATAAGGGCGCTTTCGATTTATGCGTTTCTTGACGGCCTGCTGCGGTGCCGAAGCGGTGCGTTTCTCGTACAGCGTACGGGCGATCCTTTTTTTCCACACAAAACGCGCGGTGCAGCAACAGTCCTGTTATCGAGCGTTCGCGGTACCGGCGTCGCACTGTAGCCGCACCGCGCGTTTTGTGTGAAAAAAAAAGGATAGTAAGTACGCTGTACGACAAACGCACCGCTTCGGCACC